CTTGTTTTTCATTTTAACTGATTTTGAGAGAAATCTCAATTTGATTTTTTTAGTCAATTATTATTTGAGAAAATTAACCCTTCCCTTTTGCTTCTATTGCTTCATATACTAGTTAATGTTCGCTTACTGCGTGTCAAGTGCAGTTCAAAGTGCTGTCCTCGGGTTCTGTTACTGAGCCGCACATCGTTGGGAAGTAGAGAAGTAGGCCCCGTGATGGTCGCCAAGGTTCCGAGAAGCTAACACTCGGAGCTAGCAAGCACAGCAGCCTTCACCTGACCCCACAGACCGCACTGCAGAGTCCACAAGACTAACTCAGTCCTGCTCTTTGTTCTATTTTAGACCCACTGGGACGAGGTTTTCGGTGTGGCATTTTGGAGTACTGTTGCATAACCTTTCAAGGTCTAGAAATTCACTCCTCATTTTCTTGTTTCTCTGCCTGTGTCCTTCATTAAAACTTGGAATTTAATAGCCACTCTGTTGGAGAGTCAGAAGAAGAGTATGCAGGACTCTCAAAAATAAAAAAAGGACTCTTACTAAGCAACAACAATCTCCTCTTCAGGAGTCAGAAACCCAACCAGAAGGGTTTTCATATTGTTCAACACAATGATAGATGGCCTTTTCAATATATTGACCACTTTCAAAATCTTTCAGAGATGATTTTGGTTCTAGGAATGAAATAAATTAAAGAATGTTCTTCACTAGCTACAGTGATAATTTTCTATTTAAAATGACTCGTGTATAAACATATTTCTGGACTAAAGATATTTTCTATCTTTGCATATGTTTATTCAAGGTCTTAGATTTATGAAAAGGTGCACACTGAAAATTTTTGCCACAGCAAGAAACGGATGCTGTTGAAATCAAGTTAGCTAAATTTGGATTTGATGTCATATTCAAATAATTTTTAAATGAGTTGTTTTAATTTTGTTAATTGGTACCTGTCATCCATCTTACTTTATATGTTTTTAAAAGCACATTTACATATATGTGATCTCATTTTATCATCATTGTTGAAATGGTTAATTTATTTATCTTAATGGCTATGAAAAAGAAAGTAATAGAGAATTAGAAAATTTATTTAAATTATATTGTATTAAGTGGCCAAACCAGGACTACACTAAATTATGATAATTTTAAAAAATCATTTTATTAGGGGGTCATACAACTCTTATCACAATCGGTGCATACATCAATTATGTAAGTGCATTTGTACATTCATTGCCCTCATCATTCTCAATGCATTTCCTCTCCACTTAAGCCCCCAGCATTAGGTCCTCATTTTTCACCTCCCTCCCCGCTCCCTGCTTCCTCATGAGCCCTTGATAATTTATAAATTATTATTTTGTCATTTCTTGCCCTGTCTGACATCTCCCTTCACCTATTTTTCTGTTGCCCTTCCCCCAGGGAGGAGGTCACATATAATTCCTTGTAATTGGTTCCCTCTTTCCAACCCACTCTCCCTCTACCCTCCCAGTATCGCCACTCACACCACTGGTCCTGAAGGGATCATCTGCCCTGGATTCCCTGTGTTTGCAGTTCCTATCTGACCAGTGTACATCCTCTGGTCTAGCCAGACTTGCCAGGTAGAATTTGGATCATGATAGTAGGGGCGGGGAGGAAGCATTTAGGAACTAGAGGGAAGTTGTATTTGTGATCGTTGATTCTATCTATTTCTAAAATCGCACAATAGGATTTCTCTCTGAGGCTTTATTTGTTAAGTAGCATAAATGAAGGCAGTGTTCACTATGCTTTTGATTTAGGGATTATTTGGCTTGACTAGCAAAATAGACATGGTGTAGCAATGTGAAATTGAAAAGTTTCAAAGATTTTTCTTTTCACTTCTTCATCCAATAAAACTACTTTTGGTTTTTGTGTGGTATACTACTATAAATGTGAATGATTTTTAATGATATAAATGTGCAGTGGGGGCAAAAAGTGAGGAAATGAGACAAATATACATAATGTGTTATGTCCTTGAATTATTGATGAATCTTCTAGCAGCGAAAGCATAAACCTGTGAAATATCCATCATTATAAATTGCATGTAGTTCTCCCAAGGGGTTAAGTTGCATAACAAGATGAAGCCCAGCTCATTAGAAAGCATATTTTGCAAATGTGGCCATCTTGAATTTGCATCGAATGTAATCAAGCCCGGTGACATTTTTAACATTTACTATAGTACACTATGACTCCTTTATTTAGTGTTAATCTCTTGCATAAATTAAAATTAATGAGTTACATTTCTGCATGCCTTGATCATTTTAGACCTTGCTTTGCATTTCACTTTTTAATACTGTGCATTATCAATTTCTGATCCTCAGGAAAACATAGCCTCTCAGTCCTAACCTCAGCTGATGCTTTTGTGGCTAAACTACCAAACCTTCCCAACTGATTCACATTAAATTTCAATTTACCAGAATTATGTGTTCCAATTATTATTATGATTGTCAATTTAAGCTTGGTTCCCTATATAGTTTTTTACAATAGAGTCTATTATTTCCTGCCATGTTGTTCAGCCAGGTCTGGAAGCACATGCCACCCTGGAGGAACGCTCTGTGTAGAAATGAGGAGGAATAAGGTAGACAAGTTTGAGTTGAATATCGCTTTGGAATATAGGATGCAGGTCTTTGCATTATAATGAAAATCTTGCTGTTATTGTGGTCAGGGCGAGCAGAGATAGCAAGTTATTCAGTGAAATTTTCTCTGTTTCCCAGAAAAGAATACCAACAAGAAACCATTGCAGCGAGTCACAGCTCATTTCCCAATTACATCTTTTTAATCCATCACCATAGAGTTTACACAACAGCTTCTCTTGCTGAGTGCTTATCATCCAACACCCCACTTGCATCTTGTCTAACACACTCCCCAAATATGGAGAAATGCTTTCTGTGCATCCTAGAACCCATGCAACCTAGAAGCCATGTGGATGAGTTCTAGTGGACAAGATCCTCCATGAGAAAGATTGAAAATTATTTGGGACATCCTCGTATAGTATAAAACTCTCCCCTCCCCAGTTTATCCAGTGCTGAATTTATTCCTGTTCCTGGAACCTGACACCTTGCTTAAGTCTTCAGTATTCATTCTGAAAGGGGTTTGGGTCATATATTTCCTGATATCCAACCTCATAGTGTAAGTGGGTCAGAGACAACTGGATAGTCTCTAATGAAAGCCTTATTTGAAAGCGGGTAAAGGGCAAGCCTGATTGCATTTCTCTGCTCTCACTTTGGGATTAGGTGTGAGGTCTCCAAGATGCCTTTCGAAAACTGTCGCATCAGACAAAGAGTAACACATTTGTTTATCGTCATCTACCGATGTGGCATATGGGCTGTGCGTTGAGCTCCTAACTGCAATGTCAGCAGATCACACCCATCACCCCTTCTGTGGAAGAAAGATGCAGGAGTTAAGACTGAAAGTCTTGGAAACCCCAACGGGCAGTTCTATTCTGTCTCATAGGGTCCTTTATCAGTTGAAATTGATTCGATGGCGGGAGGTGATGGGATCAATGCGTTAGCCATTAAAATGTTACTCACTCCAGGATGCTCTTTTCTTCTGATAATCAGTAACCTTACAAGTCCTGGGTTAATAGAAAAATTATGAAAACTCATATGGCAAACAATCAGGAGTTTTATTGATGTCACAAAGCCTGCCCATCCATAGAACTAAGGCAAAGGCCTGCTTCTGCCTTGCCTAAGAAGGCTTTTCGATTGTGCTACATATGCTGCAAAAACTGTCTCACGGTGCTGTTTACAAAACACCCTTCTGCCTTCTACCATTTCCCCAAACAATGTACAGGGAATGTGACAAGTGTCTAAGACCCTTCATAGGAGCAGAACTTGGACTGCTGCTCTTCCCTAATCTGGGAGATTTCCCCTTGCCGTCTGTGTTTTCTCAATGCCATCTAACAAAAATGGACTTCTCCGAGGAGCACGGAAAGAATTCCAAAGGAACCCAAGTTTTAATTGGCATCTTGGGACAAAGCATCCGAGAGAGATCTTTGCTCATAAACAGTGTCAATATAGCTGATGGATAACTCATAATACCAACTAGACTAAAGGAGAAGGTTATCTTCTAAGGATAAATAGATCAATGACAATAAATAGATCAATTACAGCCATAATCGTATTTTCTATGGGGAGGGAGTTATTTTACTTTGGGAGCCTCCTACTTAGGCAGAGCATGTGGTTTATTTCCTTTGATTCTGACTGATTGTCCGTCAACAAATTGCCTTTGGGATAAGTGCTCTGCCTTCTGTGCGATTGTGGCCCTTGAGAGATTCAAGCACAGTATAAACTCATTCTTGAAACCACAGCAGAACCAGATGTGCACCTCCGATCACACGTGCTTGTTTGTGGGGAGATATATATATCCCCACATATATATATATCATATATATATGTATATATGAAAGGAAGTGCACAACCTGAGTGAGCTGAGTACCAGGGAAGAGAGAACAAGATTACCATTCCCTACCACCACCCCATGCCAGCTGCCCAACAAAGTCGTTCTACACTGAAAAGGAAAACTTCACTTACGCTACAGTTTTCCCCAGGACTGAATCCCATGTTCTCTAGAGTCTCCCAGGAGGAATTGAGAGACAGACTTGATGTTTCTTTAACTGGCAACATTCTTTCTTTACATTCATCTCTTATTTTTACACTAAGAACTGAATACGGAACAGACCAAGGGACCCAAGAAGAGAGATAACCCTTAATGTTTGTGTTTTGAAATGCGAACTGCTCGGTCGACAGTCCTCAGACCCTGCGTCTCCTTGGCCACTTAGTACCGTTTAGCGTGCATGAAAAGGCCCCATTCACTGTAGAATGTGGCGGCACGGAGGCATTGCCATTCTCATTGTAGATATTTTGTTATGTTTTTAATGTCTTCTCTCATTTTGTCACAAATGATCACAGTTTGCGTGTTTAGGTGATGCGCATGTGTCTTTGTGGAATGACGACGGCGAGCGAGCGGTTCATGAACCTCGTATCTTCTCGTTTCAGTAGGGTCTTCGCGGCTGTGCCTATGTGTCCACAGCCAAAGCAAAGCAGACGTTTAAGGTAATTACTGGAAGAATTAAGGGGAAAACCTCTCCACTTTGCTTTCTCTGTGGAGTCTTGGCCTCCGATCAAATGAGGGAAGGCGGGCACTAGAAGTGATTTTTTTTTTTTTGTCTGTTAAGATTTCGTTGTTTGTTTTTTATCATTTTATTGGGGCTCGTACAATTCTTATCACAATTCATACATCAATTGAATCAGGCACGTTTGTGCATATGTTGCCCTCATTCTTTTCTAGACATTTACTTTCGACTGAGCCCTTGGTATCAGCTCCCCCCACCCCTCATAAGCCCCTGATAGATTGTACATTGTTAATATTTGCATCTCTCACACTGGCCGCTGTCTCCCTCCCCCATGTTTTCTGTTTCTCCTCCCCCTGCAGAGGGCTGTGTAGTTATGTGTGGATCATTGCGATCGGTCCCCCTTTCTCCTTTCCTCCCCCACTCTTCCCCCTACCCTTCGGGTCTCACTATTCCCACTCCTGTTCCTGGATTCTGTGTGTCTGTTCCTTTCTATACCTGTGTACATGTTCTGGTCTAGTCTGAATTGAGAAGCCGCCTGGGGGTCAGGGTAGGTGGGGGTGAAGAAGCTTCAAGGAACCAGAGGAATGCTGTGTGTTTCCTTGATGCTTTATTGCACCCTGGTGACGCAGCCCTTCACTGTGACCCCTCTAGGGGGCGATTGTAAATATTTTTTCTTGTTTTTTTGTTTTGTTTTCAACAAGTACAAATGCATTGTTTCGCCTTGGACTTTCTCCAAAGTGCTTTAAAAAAATGACAATCTGTGGATTTTTGTGGGTAGGGAATAATAGTAATATAATATATATTTTTTCTTAACACCATTCCCATATTCACCCTAGCACAATATTCTTGAACCTAACAAAATTTGTCAAAAGTATAAGTCTGGTTTTACCTTCTACATGAAATACCATCTTGGCCTTTGCTTTAAAGCATTTAAAATAATATATTTACAGAATATGACTCTAGCAGCATGTAATCTCAGAGTGTTTCTATTCTATTCCCATTACAAAAATTGCCCTGTGTGTTTTAACACACATGGGATCTTATGGGTCCTAGCCAAATGTTTTCTCCTGACATCATATCTGTACTTCCAGATGTGTCAGCAGTGCCTGAGCTACCACGTGTGATTTCTTGTTTCACTACAGCATAGCTTAAGGAGGGGACGAATGAGACAGTATTTGAATTGGAGATTCTGAGGTTGCCTAAATGCACAGGAGGATTAGCTCATTCTTTAGTTTTAAATATGAATTACGGTCTGGAAAGGAAATCTTAGGTAAATTGGGTCCACTATAAAGAATAAAAAATTTCAATCGTAGAAAACCCCACTGTAAATTCTGCTTTAAAAATATGGATGTCTTTGAACTATGAAAATTAATTTCTATTTCTTAAAAATGATTGCTAAATTCATTAATTCATCTGTCACTTATTGCTTCATTCACCTAATATATGAGTCTTTGCCAGGTGCTAGGAACTATTAGAAATGTTAAGGATACAGTTTATCTGTAAACTTGGTTTCTTTGTAAAGACAGTGCTTAATTTGTTAGTTGTAGACTAGTAATTATTTTGATGTTTAAAATTCATTTATTTGGTCTTCTATGTTGACAATTGACAAGCAGTGGGAGAAATAAGTTCCTGAAAATAACTTCTAAAATCTACACACTAAACCTAAAAATATAAAGCTTATAGGAATCAGAGTATGCAATTAAGTTGGATGAAAGAAATAGCAGACATAACTTTTCTTGTTACCTTCTGCAACATGTAAATATAACATGTATATGCAACATGTAGATATATACATGTATTTTTACACATATATAAAGTAACTTATATCTGGTGTATATACACTGCAATATGTTAAGCAAAGAAAGACATGGTTTCTACTCCTGTAAAGAGTTACAATCTTGGGAACCCACGGGGATAGTTCTGCCCTATTGTATTGGGTGGCTATGAGTCAGAATTGACTCAATGGCAGAGTTTGGAAAGTTACTATTAAATGAACTTGAAAATTAAGTCCGTGGAGCTAATCTATGATAGCATTGACACAATTCATCACCAAAGATGGTTGAGCAATCTTGTTGACTAGGAATTTCTTTCCCTTTGCAGTATTCAGGGATCACTTTAAATAAAGTTCAAGAAGTTTTTTAGCTGATACTCTTTGTTCAAAGACTATGAGTATCTATGCTCTGAAAATTATTACTTTTCTTTGCTTCTCTTAAAAGTAAAATTTACAGTTGTAAAAAAAAAGTAAAATTTAATTTCTCATAAATGTCTTTCCAAAGATCAATAGAAATGACCTAAAAAGACCTCCCCTGTCCTATAGGGGCTCTAAAAATCAGAATTGACTTAATGACAGCGAGTTTGGGTTTGTGCCAAGGTTCTAATTTTCCTCACTTCATTTCAATCAGTGACCCATGAGTGGGGTGGAGGTTCTAGTGCTCGCCATTCCTTACTGCCAGTGGCACGTCTCAACCTCAACCTGATCCCCTTCCTTAGCAGGCCACCTTTGGATCCACCAGCTGTGGACCAAGCTGAAATGGATTACTTTCCTCGTGGCTTGTTTCATATAAAAGTTATTCTTTTGAAAACAAGGAGAAGGGTCAGTTTTTCTGTTTGCTTTTGTTTGCCATAAACAGATCAACTCTTTCCACCCCCCAATGTCATCTCTGGGCCTCATTCCCATGGCAGCTTATAAAAAGTGACAGACATACTTTAACCTGAAGTTGGTGAGAGAGGCGTTGATGTTCTTAAAATGCTTCCACGCAAAGTGTGCTGACTAGAAACACCCAGCAAAATACATCATAGCTCCATTTTTATTTTATGTGATTTTCAAAATGATTGATATGACTGTAGGTGTTTATCCTGAACAACCTAGTGTTTTTTCATATTGCTAAATTTGGGAACCACAAATGACTTGCTCTCTCATTTCCTTAAAGGAAAAGGCTTTCAAAATAAGACATATTTGTGATTAAAAGGAGTTTAATGTATCGTTTTGACAAATAACATTTAATCATCCTTTACTTCCCTTTTCCACTCTTTGGTAGCAAAGCATTTGAAAATTCATATGAGGCCCATGGGCAAATTACCTGGTAGAGTGCTCAAAGTAGGACTGATTTTAAGCATTGGTTAAGAAACATTACGTTTTTGGTTTTGGTGATGGGAAAGTTGGCAACAGATATTATTTATGATTGCACAACATAATCAAAATAATTAGTGTTGCTAAATTGTACATGCTACATTTTTGAATTGGCAAATGGGTGGAGCAAATAGTTAAATGTCCCACTGCAAACTGAAAGGTTGGCCATTTGAGTCCATCCAGAGGCACGACAGAAAAAGATCTGAAAACGTGTTTCCCGAACATTACAACCATGGACAACCCAATCCAATGTGGTCCTCCCGGACAGAGTGAGATCACCATGAAATAGAATTGTTTGTAAAGGTGGACTCACATCAGGTTCAGCGCGACCACTGTCTTTCCTAATCTTTTGGAGATAGAGTTCTTTGTGTAGGTTTGGGAGTGACATTGCCTGTGACCACACTTAGGCTCTTGTCCTTACCACAGAGAGACTTGCTCTGGTTTAGACAGCAATTCTCTGGTTAGAGACTTTCATGAGAGGCTTCTAGGAAGAAGGAGTCAGTTCCAGGGCTCCAGATACTGGCTCCCTACCGGCAGACGCTTTCCCAGCCTGTTAAGTGCTCTCAAGGCTGATGTTCTTGAGACTTTAGATTACTGGTGCTCTGTCCCACTAGATCAGTGGTTCTCAACCTTCCTAATGCTGCAACCCTTTAATATGGTTCCTCATGTTTTGGTGACCCCCAACCATAAAATTATTTTTGTTGATACTTCATAACTGTAATTTTGCTACTGTTATGAATCGCGCAAACCCCTGTGAAAGGGTCATTTGACCCCCAAAGGGGTTGAGAACCCTTGCACTAGACGGTATTTGGAAGCAAGGGGTTCAGGTGAACGTAATCCCAGGGGTGAGGTATACGCCACCCACTTTTCTGCCTCTGCCTGGGTCAGGTCTCTGCTTTGCTTCCCTGTCTAGTCTCATTCCCAATGGCTTTTACCAGCCTCGATTATTTTCCCCCTGTTAATCTGAACTTCAGGGGAAAAGAAAGCTTTTTAGGAGAAAGTGAAATCTGAGTTTAGACTCAAAGAATGAGCAAGCCAGCATTAGCTTAACAAAGAGTAACCAGTCACCAGGGAGTATATTCAGATGTATAGTGGCCCTATCATGACCTTTAAGAGCCCTACAGAAAGTAGGAGGACTCCAGGGCTTGGGGGTCAAAAATCTTTACAGAAGCCACTGCCCCATCTTCTCTCCTGGAGTTAGCTAGTAGATTTCAACTGCTGGCCTTGCACTTAACAGCTGAGTGCTTAACCCTTGTGCTACCAGGACTTCTTACATAGTAATGTACTCTAGCTAGAAGTAGAAATGAAGTAGCATGCGCAAAGGCTGGGAGAAAGAGAATTTTGCAGGTGGAGGATAGAGTGCGACAAAATCAAAGCACAAGGCCACCTCCAGAGCAGAAAACAAAGGACGGAGGGAGCGATGGGAGGCTGGTGTGATGAGAGGAGACAGGAGACCCTGTAGGCACGTGAAGAGTCTGCTATTATAAGAGAGAGAGTTTGGATTTTGCTGGAAGATATCACGATGCTTTGGTAGAATGTTGTGAAGCAGAGAGTGATGCACATCTTACATTTTAAAGAACTCTGAATGCATTATGGTTAATGGAGTGAAGGTATCAAATAGGAAAGGAATCATCAACCCCATTGGTTGGGCAGGTTGTGGGGATCATGGCAGTGCAGCTCAACTTTGAGACCTAACTGGTTGGGAATCCAAGTGCACTGCATGGTCTGGTCTCCTGGGTGAGGTTCTCTTGGTTGATTCTGACACCATAGTTACCTCATACGTGTCAGAGGGGAACTGTGCAAAATAGAGATTTCAGCGGCCGATTTTTCAGAAGTAGAAGGCCAGGCTT